ATCTGTAGATTCTCATTATTCTGTAAAGAATACACATTTAAATATATTTCCTTTTATATCTTTTATAAATAAGGGTAAGCAATTGAGTAAATATTATACAAGTCAATAGCTATTGGTTATTCAGAATATACTTTACATAGTCAAAAAACATTCAAATATTCTGAGAGAGTTACTTTAGATACAAATCCAGGGAACTGAAACCAGCACTTCTAATATTCTGCATTCCAACTGGGGAAATTTGAGGAGAGAAATTTTTAAAAATGTTTATTGAACTCCTACTGATTATCAATAAAAATGATTCAGAGATATTCACCATGGAAGCAGAAGAAAGGTACACAGATTCTACTCTATGTGTAGAACTGTCCTGCTAAACAGTTCGCAATTTGGTCTAGGAGAATCCAGTGTCAGGCACTCAGTAAATTCTCAATAAGTGATAGCTATCAACATGATAATTCCTACAGCAAACAAATAGAGTTTGAGGACAGATCCTTCTACTGATATACTCATTTTACAGAAAAAGAAACTAAACTACGTATTTTTAATTTTTTACTACATAGGTGGACTCAAAATTAGAATTAGGGAACCCCCTTCAAAAGCTTCCCAAGGACCACTTCATAGCCCTAGGGTTTTAGAATGATACCCACTTGAACTAAGTGTGTGCAGATCCTTGTGAAATTTGAACAGGTAAGTCTACCATTGGGGATGACAACCAGGAGTATCTAACTCACCTATATATTTAATTCTCTTCTGGTAATATGGAAATTATACAACTAAGCCAAAAAAGAATCTTTTATTTATATAAAAGTCCATCTGTTGGATAAACTGTATTTTGACTACTCTTAAAGGTAAAAGTTGTTAATTTCTTTGTTTTCCATTCCTTTTTATTCCTACTTTGTCATTGCTGTGAACATCATGGGAGTCCAGCTAAAAGAGGAAGAAAAAGAGGAGAAATGTATAGGTGGTGGGGACCACCAGCAGAGATTTTTTACTGAGTTTCTGAAAATACTTAGTATTGAGTCTATAGAGGGCTTATAATCAACTTCTGTCATCCTTACAGATTCTCACAGACTCACTGGACAAAAGATGTGGAAAATGCTGGGAATAAACCTTTAGAGAAGCTCTTTCAAGTGTGACATATCGGTGCTCATGTATATTAATGGTCAAATCAGTACTGGAGACAGGTCTATCATTCCACTCCTTCTTTTCTAGGAATTTTGGCAACGTTTCTTTCCTCTCTTGTGTACTCTTCACGTCTTATCCTGAATTCTATGTCAGGAGGCGAGGAAGACTAAGCCACAGTTAATAAGGAGCTTTACTTAGGGTAGATAAGCCAAGAATTTCCTTTAATTTTCTTAACATTTTTCTCTCCTACTGCAAGTAAGTTATGTTTCAATTAATATGGACAGACTGGAGAGAGAAAGAGGAATAAATCATTGTTCTTAGATCAAATGAATACAGAAGACATAGGACATTTTTTAAGTCGTGTTTTAAAGCTGTCAGACATAGTAAGGATGTAACAAGTGTTGACTTTTCAAATAGGAGTTTGAGCAATTCCAGCTTTCGTTTGGGGTGGGGATATGGTTAGATAAGACTTAAATCTTGGAAAGTATTTTCAAAGCATTCTATATTCATAGTTTTTAAATATGTAATGCAAGCCACTTATCCATGACACTGGAAAAAAAATTTCCTACTTTATTTGGGAAAGTGGATTCTAAATAGCTGTGTTATGTTGCAAAGGTTCTATTCATGGTAGTTTTAAGGTCCCTGGGGGCAGAAACAATGTCACCTCCTTCATGCTTTGAGCATGTAGGGAGTTAGTGAACAATTGTTTATTGATTCAATCCATAATAAAAGGAAAATAAGAACAGCAAGAAAAAAAAATTAAAATGCTCAGATGTACTTCTTGTCCTATTGCCAAAGGCATGTTAGTCATCAGTCCCCTATTCGGTTTTTGTGAAGAACGGGTATGCTTTCTCCCACATGCACCCCACATTCCCATCACAACAAAGTGTCAGCAACAGTATTAATGGGAGTGACTATCATTTAGAGAGTACATTCAAATGACAAGAACTTTAATTTTCTCTAGTCTTTGCATTCATCTGCAAAACAGAAATAATTTCCTTTTGTATGGCTAGGTAAACACATAAAATGAGCTACCTTGCAAGGTCGTGCAGCTAGAGAAGCAGTACTGTGTAGTATTTAAGCACAGGGACTGTAGCATCATATACTCATTCACTCCAAAGCCAACTGCTGCCATTACTTTTTCACCTCTCTAAGTTTTTGTTTTTACTACAAAGTGATGACTAGAATCATATCTTTCCCATTGGATTGTTGTGAATATTGAATAAGATACTCAATGGAAAGAGCTTAGCAAAGAGTTTGGGGCATATGGGCTACACACATACACAAAATCCTGATTTTCCAATCATGTTGTTGTTGTTGTTTAGTCACTAAGACATGTCCAACTCTTTGCGACCCCATGGACTGTAGCCCGCCAGGCTTCTCTGTCCATGGGATTATCCTGACAGGAACACTAGAGTGGGTTGCCATTCCCTTCTTTAGGGGATCTTCCCTACCTAGGGATCAAACCCATGTCTCCTGCATTACAGGCAGATTCTTTACCACTAAACCACCAGGGAAGCCCAGTCATGTTGGTTCTTAGAAATGCATGCTTCCCATAAGTACTATGACCATAAGTACTCTCTCTTCACTTCTATGTTTTTGCTAATTTATCTGTTTTTCACCATCCAGCTAATATTTCTTTTTCTGGAACACCGTATGAACAGAGATAATTATGTTTGTATTTATCCTTCAAGTCTAAGGATAACTTTACCAAAAATCATCCCCAAAGAATCCAAGATATAGTTCTCTCATACTACTTATTCTGTGTTTCATGGTACTTATTACCTATCTGTCTATGTCCCCCACTAGACTGTGAGAGCTCAAAGATAAGAACTAGGTCGTTCTTATTCAATATCTTTCAACACCCAAAACAGGGCCTGAGTGATGGGACAGACTCAACAAAATGTTGGAAGGATGGGTAAATGGAGGCATGGATGCATGGAGGAAATGACTAAGCCATCAACACTGCCATGGATGCATTCCAAACTGGAGGGTAGGCACTGAGTGAAAAGAAAAATCGGAGATTCAAGAAACACATTACCATGTGTACATTTATCTGGGTTCCTTCCCATGGGGTAAAATACCAACTAATTTTGTCTATGAAAGACAATGTGTAAGTATAAAAAAATTCAAAATCTTTCCTTTCTATAATCCCAAGTCTATGGGAGCCTAAGTATATCTCAAAGCAAGGACGCCATACTGCCCCTAACACTGCAGTAATATGTGGCATCACTATCTGTAGATCACCCAGAGGCCCTTAGAGAACAGTGCTCCTGGGCAGTGCCTCTCAAATTTTAGGGACAGTATTTATTGCAGGTGAGGTTAAAATGCACTCTTGAAAAAGAACAGACATATGTAGAACTGAATCACTTTGCTGTATGCCTGAAACTAACCCAGCATTGTAAATCACCTATACTCCAATATAAATCACCTATACTCTAATATAAAATGTAAGTTAAACTTATAAAAAGGCAGATTCTGATTGAATGGTTCTGGGAATATATAGCTTTTATTAGGTTTTACTCTGTCTGGGAGAAAATTTCACAAAAATCGTGGGCAGAGTTCAAAAACCCAAAAAACTACAGTGAGGCATTTTATTCTAGGGCATGGCAACCAGCTCCAGTATTTTTGTCTGGAGAATCCCCATACACAGGGGAACCGGTCAGGCTACCGTCCATGGAGTCGCAAAGGGTTGGACATGACTGAGTGACTAATCACAGCACAGCACAGTGTTTCTCAACTTTGGCTGTACATGAGAAAGATGTGGGAAGCTTCTCAAAACATAGTGCAGATCAATGGTCATCTTTACTCCTTCCCCCCATCAATTGATCAGAATTTGGGACGGTTTCTTCCATGAGATTCCATTACAAAGCTGTAGGAACCAGAGTTCTACCTACCAGTCCACCAGCACCACTCAAGGGGCTGATCCAAATTTCTGATTAATGTTGCATCTGTGACAAGATAAGTACCCAAACCAAGTAAGAGTTTAGAAACTTTTACAGCAATGTGACAAATTAAGTTTATGCTTACTGAATCTAGCAATAAAATATGAAATCGTTTAATAAAAATTTAAAAAATGAAATCGTTTAAAACAAAAAGCTGACTTGCAAAGAAACATTTTGATTACCCTGCCTCAAAGAGGCATTGTGAATAATCATACAGCCATCTCTGGTACGGAGGATTGCCCGGACCCTTCTCTAAGCTGTTACCTCTCAAAGCTGAAACATGGAGGCCAATAATTGCTGGGGCAAATTACTTGGAGACATGGGCACAACAGGGTTAATAAACAGGACTGTGGTAGGTGGGGTTACAAACCAGGAACACATGCCCTCCAAGTTAGATAGCTTTCTTTAATTGCTCTGAAAACAAACACACTCTCACATAACGCGGAAGGTGAGAGCTGAATGAAGTTTTCTGGGTAATGGCTTGAAATGTTTTCCTTATGAGAAGTGGTGTTGAGTTACAGTGTGCAGACGGAGAACTGGGAGGGGAGAAGCCGCAGCCCCCGCTGGGCCCCCACCTTTCCTGGGGCTTGTAGGAAGGTGGACATGGGCTCGTGGAGATGAGATGAGCGACCTGTTGAACTGTCTGGTGGCTGGAATCGACTGCCCCCAGAGTGGCCGAAGGGCAGTACCGAGCAGGGCTTCTCCAGGGCCAGCTGAGCAGGCACGGATGCTCCGCTGTGGAACGCCACGCAGGCAGACTGACAAGCGGTAGGAGCTGAGCTCTCCCCTTGGACGGCTGCTTCCTGCGGTGTTCACGGGAGGGGGGCGCTTTCTGGCAACTTGGCTGCCGCAGCTGCTGCTACTTCAGCTCCCTCTCCACTCAAGGTAAGCAGGCGCAGAGGGAGGGCAGGCTGCAAGGAAAGCCTTTGTACCATGAACAAGATCCGAAAGTTTTTCCGAGGAAGTGGGCGAGTCCTGGCATTTATATTTGCAGCTTCTGTCCTCTGGCTGCTCTTTGACATGGCAGCTCTCCGCCTCTCATTCACTGAGATCAACACTCAGATCCTCAAGGAAGACGTGGTTCGGAGGGAGCGGGCAGGGTTCAGAGTTCAGTCAGACCAGGTGAAGGGCCCGGACAGCAGCAGGAGAGCGATGAAGCCCCCACCGAAGGGACACGGGAAGGGCGTGTGGCGCAACGAGAACTTTAGGAAGACCGAGGCGAGTGAGCTCAAGGTCGAGGATGATTTGGACCAAACCCAGAAGGAAAGAAAAGTACAGGGCGCCCCGGGAAGAGGCAAGGTCGCGCCTTTGTGGCATCCCGCATCTAGGCAGACTCACCCAGTGACGTTTACCAAGTGGAAGACAGAGGGGCGAGACATCCGACCTGCCGTTTCCTCTCGCCCCATGACACCAAAGCAAAGGACAGCTCAGGGGCTTGAGAAAACTCCATTCATTGTAGCTAGGGGAACTCCACTGGCCAAAATATCTGTGCACACAGGACCTGTCGCCCTAAACAAGCAGGGCCCAAAGAGCCATGGTCTCAACAGTGATACATCAAAGCAAGCAGCTGAGAGGCACCCAGATGTGCCCGTCAGTCTTGGTAATGACACATCAAAGCAGCAGTACCGCGCAGGAGGAAATGAAAGGACCTACCCTGCCAGCCCGCCAGTGCCAAGACCCAGGGAAGCCACTGCCTTAAATAAAACTGAGACTCAGAGCAAAGAACTGAATGCAAATAAGCACAAAGCCAATAAGAACCTTACCTCTTCCAAGTTCATTGCCAATTCAGATCACTTAAAGAAGCAATCTATTAATGTGATACAGTGGGGAGGCTTGCTGAAGGATGACGGAGCCAAGGTGGCTGATGGGAAGAAATTCAATTTGTCTGAAAGCCATGTTGTAATTATAACCAAGGAGGAGGAGCTAAAGACAGACACCCAAGAGGTCCCGAGTTCCAACACCAAAACTATATCTCCTATAGTATTGGGCAAAAGCCAAGAGAAACTCACTGGCAGGAAGAGCAATGAGGCATCTTTCTCTTCACTTGCTCTTCAGAGAGCAGCAGTGTATCAAACCAATCAAGCCTTAACTGGGGGACGGGAGTTAGTAAGGATCAATTTAACTGCCAAGACCCAGCCTGCACGACTCAACCAAAGTCAGACAAGAGCCCTTTCATCTGAAGATGGCAGAATGCACCGTGTGTTAAGAATTGATGTGACACTTGCTCCAAGGGACCCCAAAGCTCCAGGTCAGTTTGGACGTCCAGTAGTTGTTCCCCACGGAAAGGAGAAGGAGGTGGAAAGAAGATGGAAAGAAGGAAATTTCAATGTCTACCTCAGTGATTTGATCCCAGTGGACAGAGCCATTGAAGACACAAGACCTGCTGGGTAAGACCCATTTCTCTTCTCCTTCCTCAGCCCCACGTATTTCAGGTCTTATATAGAAAAGATTTATTTCTAGATAATTCTGTGTGATTTTTGGTTGCCTAGAGAATTAGAGAAACAGTAATCACTAGGCAGAGTTCAGATAGTCTACCATCCTCCCAGAGAAAAGTTCTGCCATCTGTAGACCCAGTGAACTCTCTTTACTCCTTTACTTCTCTGAGACTTTGGCCCTCATCCCTGTTCGCTCATGGTTCTATTCCCTTTTCTATATCGAAAACCCACTAAAATGATAAGAGGGGCTCAATTCCTAATAAGGTGTATATGAATGGTAGAGCTTAAAATGTAATTTCATTAAAACAGTGACAATGAAGTGAATTCTCAATTTTGGAACTTTTTATTACTAGCAAGTTTGTCAGAAGTCTATTTGGAAAAGGAGCATGGAGAAGGAGCCTTCTAGGCCTCTCTGGAATCATATTTTGATCTGCAGAATTCTGCCTAATTGTGAGTAATGATTATCATAATAGCAAGTGAAGACGTGACGCTACTCCCTAGAATTTAATAGCCTTTAGAGATGAGGATGGTAGATAGCTCAGGAGCTCAGCAATGCAGGAATAATAATGTAGGAAAAAGTCAATCAGCTAATAAGTAGCAAACACCTGCAGGACACACAAGAATATATTTTATATTTCTAGAGTTTCACCATTTATGAAGCAACTGCATACAAATCACATGAACTTCATAAGAGCCCTGCAAAGGAGGTGGCAGATATTATGGGGTCAAATGAACAAGTGAGGACACTCAGAAACTATGTCACTTTCCCAAGGTAACCGAGCTCTACTGCTGCCCAATTAGTCTTCGTGAACCAGGTTTTAAAGAATTAAATTTCTGTAACTAAAAGGTAGATCACAGAACCTGATCTGATTCAAACATAGTTGGTTCCTGGCTCTTTATGGTCCACTCATAAGTGAAGTTATGAGCCATATGTTGTAGCCACATGTTCAGTACCCATTAATTGTTAATACAGTTCCATATATGCCTTGATATTCGATTCCTGAGCCAAACAATGTTCGCCAAGAAGTTGAAATTAGGGAGTGTCAATTCAGACTTACAACATGTGGTCTGTAAATAATGCCCTTGTTTGGCCTCTGTAAAGGTAAACAACACTTCTTTGTGATCTGGGTATCAGTATTACTAGGAAGAAGGCAGATAGAGATGTGCCTGTATTCATACTGGTAAGAAGGGCCTCTTCATTGTGATGTTAATCATTTGCAGCTCTTAGCCATCGGCAGATGTCTATCGGCCATGCATTAATCACCTGTTTAGAAAAATCACTCTGCCATTCATGTTCCTCTCCCTGGTGAAACTCACAACCTTGAGGAGAACACAAATATACCTAAAATCCCAAAATAAAAATGAAGAAACTGAGGCCCTGGTAGACTGTATTGTCTGTATTCATAGAACTAGTAATTGTAGAGAAATGATTAAAACCCATGCTCAAAATTATGTTGTGCTATTGATTGCCCATCTCTTGCTAATTACTACAACAGAAAGTCCCCCAAATTATGTTGGACCAGCTCTGATCTGAAATCCCATATATCACATGTCAAATATATCACATATATTTATGATATACTATATCACTATATTGGGGCTTCCCATGCAGCACAGTGGTAAAGAATCTGCCTGCCAATGCAGGAGACACAGAAAAGGCGGGTTTGATCCCTAGGTCAGGAAGTCCCCTGTAGCAGGAAATGTCTACCCACTCTAGGATTCCTGCCTGGGAAATCTCATGGACAGAGGAGCTTGAAGGGCTACAGTCCATGGGGCCCCAAGGAGTCAGACACAACTGAGCAACTGAACACACACACACTTATCACTATATTACTATATATATACGCTACATATGGTATATTCAAATATGCCAGTATACAGCATATACTATATATGCCACTATGAATGGCATATTACTTTACATACCCTATGTAGCATATACTATATGGCCATATACTATCCATGGCAACTTTGAATACAAAATGCCAGGGACTGAAGTAGTAAAGTAGCTTTATTTTAATATCCCTTCTGTGGTCTGGCAGACTGCTATGGAGCTTGGGGGAAAAAATCAGACACTGCACAGAAGTCCAGGCTTCAGTTCCAAACCAGAGAAAGGGCAATTGTATGAGAGCCAAAGCAAGCAATAATGATGTTATCGTCCGTGTGATTTATTGGAGGCTCAATGGCTTCCAGTGCTTGTTATTTTCTAAAATTTGATCTGTGGAAGCTAAGGGTTGCTGCCCAGGAAAGTCACAGTCAGGCTCTCTTTTCTGAAGGAGGCTGTCCCAACTGTAGGAGAAAGTGACACGTGTGCTTGAGAGCATGAGTCAGACAGCGTGTGGCCAGGGCCCCTCCCTCTTATCACACAACCCACCTTGGCTAAATATAGGTGCTCCTAGCAAGCTGCCTATCTGATGCTCTATTCTTCCAACAGGATGGAGGTGACAGTTTAACCAACAGGGATCCTATGTACAGAGCCCCTTTTGTGCCATTCTTACAGGAAAGAGAATAGATTATTTTTCTTTGCTTTTATCCAAACACTGACTACAAGTATGTGTAAATTATGTATTCAAATGGATAAAGGTTGGAAGAAAATACAAGTGAAAAACATTTGATTCTTCAGGTTGGCATGATTTAAAGTTTTCTTATTTTGATTTTATTTTTTTCCAGCTTTGCTCAAAAGGTATATGAGACACTTGTAAGTACACACTTACAAGATTTTTTGAGATAATAATTTTTAAAAGTCTGCGTGGGGGAAATTTCTATAGAATATAGTAAGAATATATATATATATATATATGTGTGTGTGTGTATGTGAAAGAGAAGGGGGGAGAAGAGAAAAGAAAGAAAAAGAAAGAAATCTATAAGAATGCAGAAGAACTGGGCTTAAAATTAGTTGCAGTAACAATCCACTGAAACCTTTAAACTTTAAGAGATCTGGGAACTATCTCCCTTACTACTTCTTTCATTTCCCCCAAATTTGTATCATAACTGGCGATTGAATATACATTGAATCAAAACAAGGATTAAAAACCATAGGTTTGCTAGTATGTTTGTTTCAATTTAGTCCCCCCCTGGTAAAGATAATAAGTAGTTACTAGTTCTTAAGAATGATGATTTAAGTGATACTAGGATGAAGGTAACATAGAGAAGAGAGAAGCAGGATTTCTAGGACAACTTCTGCTCTTGTTCTAAAATCAGACTCTTTTTAAAACCTGCTCTTCCCTCCTTTTCTCCTGAGTCCCAAAGAACCATTCTAAGGTGTTGAGATGCAGTAATGGCCTTTTTCAAAAGCACAAACCCCTTTCTGTCATCAGCATTATTTTACTGTCCTTTTTAGTGCCACCCAGATTTCTACCCCTTGCCCTGTGGCTGTCACTTATGGTGTATGCCAGTCTCTCCAATGTGGGCCTTCAGCATAAGGATAGTTAGTCTCATGATCTTTTTCTACACATCAAGTTCATTACTACCCACTGATGTTTTTCTTAACTGGTCCCTTCCCACAGCTTCCTACTATCCTCACCTTGCAGTCTTCACCATTTTACCCCAAATGTTAACCTGACACTGTTTGACATCTAACTGTATCTCACCTCCACCTGTACCATGATTTGACTGTAACCTCTGCTTCAACGACCCTTCATGCTCTTGTTGTTTCTAAAACACTCCTTACTATGTGCTCTTCACTAACCAGAGCCTTAAGAATCTGTTTCACCTTGTCAGTGACATTCAAAGCTTCAGGAAGAAACTCTGTCATTTACTTCATTTTGTATCCCGTTAGCACAGAGCACCCATGGTGAAAAACCCACCTGTCAGTGCAGGAGATGGGGGTTTGATCCCTATGTTGGGAAATCCCTCCAGGGAAGATCCCCTGGAGAAGGAAATGGCAATGCATTCCAGGATTCTTGCCTGGGAAATGCCATGGACAGAAAGAACCTGGAGGCCTCCATTCATGGGATTCCATGACTTAGTGACTAAACAACAACAGAACTGAGCACAGGGCTGGGCACTGAAAAGATTCGAGTTTATGCAATATGGTTTTAAAGACAAGTTTCTCTTAAATGATTTTTGAAAATTGATACTACTATTTTTTAAAAAATGAATGATAGATACCTAATTTAAATGAGGTTTGTGAGAAGTCATTTTACAAATTAGTAGTAATGACTTAATACTAACTTCCTAATTTTTCATTTTGGATATATAGACTATGTTAGTGTCTTGTTTAAGGTAAATATGTCCTCTTCTAACACTATGATCTATTCATTAAGTCATGTTTATTCACTAATTCATATTCCTGTTGTTGTTTGTCTTGCATTTTAATGTTTTGATTTTCAATAGATGAAAATCTCCTTGCTTCATTCATCAGAAAGTTTTCTGCCCATAAGTAAAATGTAATTTCATTTTTGCCTAGAATTTTTGCCTATAAAATATTCTTCAAATAAAATAGTTTTTTGACAGTCATTTCACATTCCATATTTAACCCTTTCTTTATAAAAAGATAATCCTTGCAGTTCCTACTCATATTGAAGCTTGGTTTAGCCAGCAGTAATCAATACATCCACATAGGATTTACTAAGACAGAGTCCTGCCTACTGGAAATGCAAGCCAATTCTCCTTAGAGAGGTCTGTCCTGTGGCCTGCAGCTAGAGGGAAGATGAAACTCCAAAAAGGAACCTATTTTAAGAGTGCACTTCCTGAATCTGCATTTAGAGAAAAGTGACTCAAGGACATGTTTGCTGCCAGCATTTAGGTTTTTAGAGGACAGTAAGAATTACAGCATGCTCCTCTAGCGCTGCTGCGTCGTCATGATGTTAGTCGATTGTTTAATTTAATGCTTTGCTTTTCCTACAGTATTCTGGCAAGCCCCTCAATAAAGCAATTAAAACGGGCCTATTCTCTTAGCCCAGAGCTGGGACTGTCAACCAATAATTTGATTCCTTCCTACACAGCTAAAG